AAATATAAATTTATATGTCTATCATGCAAGTAGCCACAATAATTTATTTTAGATAAATAATTCTCTGTAAACTTCTGAAGGAACACAAATGGATATGATAATTTACAAAGACAATGGCTTGAAAAGTTATGTTTGTTCTTATTAATCAATAACTATTACCAATAAGAAGAAAAATGAATTCACACTGAATGTTAGAAGAATATTACACCAAGAAATTTTAGACATGGAATGATGTACATAGTTTCTGTTGTTTGTGAGTAAAATCAAAAATCAAAGGCCCTCTTTTATTGTTCACTAAATGTGATCAATCATAATTTAAAGGTATATGTTTATGCTCCTTCCAGAGTAAAAGGGCAAACAGCTATTTATATTAACCCTTACAAAAAATAGTTACTTGAAATTGAAAGATATATATTGTCTCAACAAGAACAGGAAACAGAATAAAAGAATAAATAATAGCAAAAATAGCAAACAGTATATTATTAAAGAAGAGCAATTAACAAAATTAAGAAATAAAACAAAGGTGAAATTAAGCTGAAAAGTAAATGAAAAATTGAAAATACATATTTAGAAATAAAAGACATACGAAGAAAGTCTTGAGTAATACATGTCTTCTCGCACATTTCTTTGCTAATGAATCTGTTGTTGTTGCCAAGGCAACCACTGTAGGTAAATAATTCACATTGCCTTGTCTCAGTGTTGAAATACCATGCCTTATATGGAGTATTGCAAGATCCTTCGACTTTGGGTAAAGCACAGGCATCTGAAATAAATACAAATCCAGGTGTAACATGTAAAAAACTCAAACATATATTTCCTACTAATTTCAAGATATATTATTAGACCATTTTTATAATATAACATCTGACATTCAGGGTCACTGGAGTTCAAAAGCCCTTGTTTCTACCAACAGACTCACAGACCAGAAGAAAAGTGACCAATTTTTAATAACAACTAGAGTTTCAAATAGATACTTCATTGGGTTACCAATTATAAAGATGTATATTATACACTGAAATTTATTTTCCTCTTCTTCTCATGAAGTAAATGACTCATAAGATATCTCTAAAGAGGAATTTATGAGATATTTGGAAAATTAAACTGTTATTAAACAATAATATATTACAGTTACATATATACAGTTACTGTATAATAAATAAACTACTTATAGTTGTTGTATTCTTTATATTCTCAGATTCTTTGATTTCTCTCAGAGTATAACTGGTAAGAACCTTAGAATAACAAGTTTGGTTTGTTTTGAATTTTGTGCAAAGCTACACGAGGGCTATCTCCATTTGCCATCCTTAATTTAGCAATGAAAGACTAGGCGGAAGGCAGCTAGTAATCACCACCCACTGGCAACTCTTGGGATACTATTTTACTAACGAATAGTGGGATTGATCATCCCATTATAATGTCCCTACAGCTGAAAGGGCAAGCATGTTTGGTGGGATGGAAGAATAATGAGAAAATAGAAAAAACTGTTTATGAAGCAGTTGCTTGATTTACTCTAATTTAAACTGAACTGAACTTACAAGAAAGAGACTTGATACAAGCTTGGACAAAGTCACAATCTATATTCAGATTAACACACTGAAAGCTTATCATCACACAAATGCAAGTATGCCTTTAATGTTGTATCTTTATTATCTGAGCTTCAACTTTATGGTTGCATTTGTTTCTATCTGTGGTGTATCTCTTTCTCTCTCTAAATTTTGTTAACCTCAATCTCTCCTGTTGTACACATATTCTGTTTTGTATTCTTTCCATTCTGCATCTTCAATGTGATCTGATCTAATCTCATATGATCTCCAAATATATATACTCTCATCTAGTATCTTCTGATCTGAATCTACCAGACTGAAAGAACCTGGTATTATATATATATATATATATGTACACACACACAAAATATAAGGCCAGGACACCTAGGGCATAGAAGTCACCCACATGACTAAATATCATGTTGATTTCAGTACAAGGGTTGTTATGTTCTTGAGGTATAACCCAATTTGTCAGCAGGAACGACTATTGTCTCTTTTGGTACAAATTATATGAAGTTACTGCTATCTTGTCTGCTAGATGATAAGGACTTAATTGTTCTCTTGACTGACATTCTATTTTGGGAGGTACTAAATCTACTGTGTATGCACAAAATTTTTGAAGAACTCTATATGTCAATTAAAAGGATAGAACACATTTGGTATGCTTACATATTAAATAGTTAAGTATTGATAATTCCATTGTCCTTACCTGCCCCTTTTGGCTCAACACATATGTCTTTGCATTTTTCTTCAGAATCAAATCGATTTTCATTACCATTACATCCCCCATACCAAAACCTTGTACAACCACCATACTCCATGTCAAAAAACCATTTGACAGAATAATCACGGCAAGGACCAAGTGCCTTTGGTAATTTGCAAACATCTAGAAATTGTTGAATTGTTAAGATCATTAAAAGATAAAATTTCAAGTTGAAAATTATTTCAAAAGTAGGAGTGAACTATATAAATGCAAACATTTTGAGTAATTAAAATGAATTAAATTAAAATTATTTCAAAAAGTAGGAGTGAACTATATAAATGCAAACATTTTTGAGTAATTAAAATGAGTCAATATTAACTGAAATAACAAGGTAGGAATCATGTACAAAGCACTGTTTCAAGTTGCTTTATTAGTATAATGTTTCCTAAACAATGATAAAAAGTGCTTCTTTATTCAATAGTAGAAAAGCTTCAGGTTCCAAGTTTTTTACATGAAAAAAAAGATTACAAACCTTATGAGAATATAGATTTATTAAATTAATTGTATTTTTCTTTGTTTTGCATACCACAAAAAGTTCATTCAACTTTTAATAATTTATGCTTCCTGTAGGAAACTGATATTTGACCAGATACGAATGAAATATTAAAAATTACTAATACTCTTACTATAATATTTCAAGAAGGCCTCATTATCTCACTCTAGAAACAGACAGGAGTAGTCCATCAAAGTAAAAAACTCCACTATGTTTCAACATATTTTCTAACCTATAGGACTTCAAGTTTTACAAGTTTCATTTGTTTGTTTGTTCATAACTAAGCACAAGGCTACACAATGGGCTATCTGTGCTCTGCCCACCACTATTGAAACCCGGATTCTAGGGTTGTAAGTCTGCAGACATATCGCTGTGCCACTGGGGGGCACGAGTTTCATTATTATATACTTTACAGATTATGCATAACTGTTTTAAACAACTTTTTCAGTTGTTGTGAGTTATTGTAGCCCAACCTTAAACGAACTATTGTTCTTCTACACATAGGGAAGTACATAAACTAACTTCATGTGTATAATTATAATTAAAAGTTATATATTTTATCAATATTTACATCATATATATCAAATGAATGATTAATATATTAATATTATCAACATAGAGTATACTAAAATGAGTTAAACAAGTTATTCATGTTCACAACACATGTATACACAAATAATTCCTCAAATTCTTCAAAAAATTATTTGTTAATGATTATGTAGATTCATCAATATATCATTATCCAAAAGAGCTTTTATTTTCAACTTTTCATATCATTTGATTTTTATTACAAGTAACAACAATAAAAAATGCAAGTAAATAAAGTTTATAAACTTACCTCCAGCAACCTTTTGATCAATAATGGGTATGTCAGGACATCCTTCAAAGTTGGGTCCACTTGCAACATGTATACCATCTGGACAACAACGATATGGTGTATTTACACAGGAACAACCCTCATAATGTGGTCCCTTAGCTACTATCACACCATCTGGACAACATCCATAAGGCATTGTAGAACAAGGGCATCCTTTGTAATTTGGTCCTTCTGCTGGGGTTTTTCTATCTGGACAACAGCCATTAGAAAAAGATTCACAAGGACATCCTTGAAGTTCTGGACCTTTAGCAGGAGTTTGCTTATCAGGACAGCAACCATAAAGCAGGGTATTACAAGGACAACCATGATATTGGAGTCCTTGTGCAGGTGTTTGTTTATCTGGACAGCATCCATAAGGCAGGGTTTCACAAGGGCACCCTTGATAATTTGGTCCTTCTGCAGGGGTTTGCCTATCTGGACAGCATCCATAAGGCAGGGTTTCACAAGGGCATCCTTGATAATTTGGTCCTTCTGCAGGGGTTTGCCTATCTGGACAGCACCCATACTGAAAGGTCTCACATGAAGTGAAACCCTGCCTTATGGATGCTGTCCAGACAAAAAAACTGCTGCAAAAGGGTTAGATTATGAAGGATGATGGGCATCCTTCATAATCTTGTCCTTCTGCAGGGGTTTGCCTATCTGGACAGCACCCATAATGAAAGGTCTCACATGGACATCCTTCATAATCTAACCCTTTTGCAGCAGTTTTTTTGTCTGGACAGCATCCATAAGGCAAGATATCACAAGGGCATCCTTGAAGTCCTGGTCCTTTGGCTGATGTCCTTCCATCAGGGCAGCACCCATGTTTATCATACATACAACCACAGCCTTCATAACCTGGTCCTATAGCTTGTGTAACTTTGTCTGGACAGCATCCATAGAGAAGAGTTTCACAGGGGCATCCTTCATTATATGGTCCTTTAGCAGGAGTATTTCCATCAGGACAGCACCCATGATGGAAAAGGTCACAGGCACAACCTTGATATTGAGGACCAACTGCAACACTACTGTTATCAGGGCAACAACCAAATTTAGTGGTCTCACAACCACAACCTTCTTTATTATGCCCTATGGCTGGGGTAACACCATCATCACAGCATCCATATAATAACCTATCACATATACAACCTTCAAAGTTTGGGCCATTAGCTGGAAAGTAACCATCTTGACAGCATCCAAAAGGATATTCTTTACAAGAGCATCCAATGTACCTTAAGACAAATAAAAAATAATAATGACAGAATAAAACATTTCAGCAATTTAAATAATATACTAATGAGAACAAAAATTTTAGTGACAAATTACAAACTTAAATATTGAAAACTAACATATGCTTAGTTCAGATTTCTTATTGGAAAAGACAAACTTTTCACTGCCCTTATTTATCACCAGATGATTGCAAAAAAATAAAAAATATCTGTATACAGAAATTTGCAGTGAATTAAATATCTGTATTTTCAACCTGAATGGCACAGAGACATTAAGGTTCAGGCATAACTGTTAATAATATAGAATTGATGGCTAGAGGGCACCCAGTCAGCAGCACCCATCACCTTCATAGCTACCCTTAATGAAATAGTGAGACTGATTTTTACTTTTATAATGTACTCATGGATGATTTGTTTGGTTTATTTTTATTTTTGTGCAAAGCTACTTGAGGGCTATATATATACACTAGCCATCCCTAATTACGAAGTGACAGGTTAGAGGGAAGGCAGCTAGTCAAAACCCACCACCACCAACTCTTGGGCTATTCTTTTACCAACAAACAACAGGATTGACCATCACATTATAATGTTTCCACAGCTGAAATGGCAAGCATGCTCAGTGACAGAGGTTCGAACCCACTAGCCACAGATTGCGAGTCAAGTGCCCTAATCATCAAGCCATACCAGGCTTAACACATGAAAATGTGGAGCTTGTGCAGTGGTGTGTCATGGGCTCAAACCTTGGAAATCCTAATCTGAAGCTTTCTATTCTAACCACTAGATTATATGTGGCCCACAGTGAATTAGGATCATTGTACAACTCCTATAACTTCAGTGATACTGCTTATCTTACATAAACCTAGCATATGTTGCAAAAATACTCATACATGCAAATAATTTGAAAGGTTGCAATCTTATATTTGTGTTTGATGAGAAAAGTACTATTAGTTTTGCTTGTTCTAAAGAATTCATAATCAATCAAATCTTTACCCAAGATTCTAGATAATATCTCATCTCTGATCAATGAATAAATCTGAAAGGTTAATGTAGTTAATTTCCCTGAGAACTAGTTTTTAATAATTAATTAATAAAATGCTTTTTGAATATTGAATTTTATATCACACCTATTTTTTAATTTAAAATGTTAATTACATTTTTTTACACCTGTGTATACTTTGTTATTGTTGTGTAACAAGTAAAATTGATTTCAGTATGTTTTATGAAATAGAATATTGTCAATTTTAAAGCTAGTTTGAAATGATAAAATCTAAACATACCAAATCTTTTGTCATATAGACATAGTTACAGGGATCAAAATTAGTGGGGACCCAGAAGCCAATGGCTCCCAAAAATGCTGGTGAGCCCATAAAAAGTGTCTGCTAAGTAGCCTGCATGCCCCATTAAAATCAAAAGAGCCATTAAAAGTTTGACTTCACATAAATTGATCTAAATTAACTGAGCAGAACTTATGACAAACCATGAATGGACCTTCACAAATTTACGAACACTTATAAGTCATGTACAATCCACAAACATTGTCACTAAGAATGCCCATGTATTCAAAGTAAATGCACTTTCATTAATAAGAATGCTATCACTTTGTCCAATATTCAAATTTTTTTGCATCAGTGTCATGGAATTGATATATAAAATTTCATTTAAAAAATTTGAAATATAGAGTGATTATTTGAACCTTTATAAAGATGACTACTGTTTTCAATCAGAATGCTACTTTTTAACTTTTTATATATGACACCAAGCCTGTATCAACACTCACACATTTGAAAGATGTACATACAAGTTTTTTTTGTCAATACTTTCCAAAAACAGGCAAGTAAAAATTGCAAATTTGTAAGTTGTTTGGAGAATCTACCTTACTGTATGTATATTGTTTCTAAGTGTATGCATGTTAGTGATGATGTCATTGTGTAGTATTGTTGACAGTTTAACCTTAAAAACTGTAGTGACTACAGAGAATGTACTTGAAACTTCATTAAATTTGAAATAGTTGAAGTTATTAATAAATGTGCCAAGAAAAAAAAAACACAATCTCTTTTCTGTTTTTTATTTGAATGGGTGAAAAATTAAAATGGGGCTGAAAAAAAAGGAAAAATTACAGGGTCATGATTGTAAGCATACTTACAAATTAGAAGATTGTTGTTGTGAATAAAGTGGTCTGGGTGGTGTTTTTTTTAATTTCTCGGCAATTGTTTTTTTTGTGATCGGGAAATTTTACAAATCTTACCAGGTAAAACACTGCATAATATAAAATAATAACTTTAAATGAACACAAGACAATAGAGACCAAATGCAGGCAGGGTCCAGATTGTTTATTTGTTTGCTTGTTTTTGAATTTTGCCCAAAACTACACGAGGGCTATCTGCACTAGCCATCCCTAATTTAGCAGTTTAAGACTAGAGGAAAGGCAGCTAGTCATCACCACCCACCTCCAACTCTTGGGCTACTCTTTTACCAACGAATAGTGGGATTGACCATCACATTATAATGCCCCCACAGCTGAAAGGGCGAGCATGTTTGGTATGATGAAGATTCAAACCCGCGACCCGCAGACTGCGAGTCGAGCGCCCTAACCACCTAGCCAAACCGGGCCAGGTCCAGATTGAGAAGCAGGTGCAGAAGAGTGACAAAAAAGGGGATGAAGGAAGAATCCACAAAATGGATGTTGGGACATCATCAGACATTGACACTGATGTATACTAAGGGAACAAAAAGTAACTGTTATACCATGCTTTAGAGAGAAACTAAAGATCATATATGAAATGTAAATCATATAAGTGGTCTGAAAAAATGAAATGGTTCATCTTCTTTTGTTTGTAATTAAGCACAAAGCAACACAATGGGCTATCTGTGCTCTGCCCACCATGGGTATCAAAACCTGGATTCTAGTGTTGTAAGTCCGCAGACATACAGCTGTGCCACTGCGGGGCAAAATGGTTCACAACAAAATAAATTGAGAGATGTTGATATCTTTAGTTTCCTTTAAATTTACATAAAATATGTTCTTTAATTCACTAATAACCTCCACTATAGACTACATTTTACAATGCACTATAGCATTGGCCCCTAAAACTGCATGTTTTGGGGGCCCAGCTGGCTCCCTGAAAAAAAAATTTCAGCATGAGCCCTGAGTTATAACAATGAGCACTGTACACAAAATAGGTAATAAATGTTAATCAGGTAATAATAAAACATATTATATCATTTATGAATAACATCCTTAAAAGAGATTTTTTGTTACCTGGGACCCATTGCTGGAGTAATGTCATCTGGACAGCATCCATAAGGAAACGTCTGACAGCCACAACCAAGGTTATCTGGTCCCATGGCAGCAGTTAGATTATCTGGACAGCAACCAAACTGTGTAGTAACACAACATCCCTCATCATTTGGTCCTTGAGAAGGAGAGATCCCATCAGGACAACAACCAAATGGAAATTTGGAGCAATTTGGTGGGATATCTATGTCTGGCTGTTCAGTTACATCTATTTCTTTACAACCTTCAAATGATGGTCCCTGTGCTGCTGTGATATTATCTTGACAACAGCCATATTCCGTTACTAGACAACATCCTTGGTTGTCTGGACCTTCAGCAGAAGTGAAACCATCAGGACAGCATCCAAATGGGGAGAGTAAACAAAGAAAATCATGCCCAGCAGGCAAAAAAACTTCACAACCCTCCATATCAGGACCCAAGGCTAATGTGGTATTGTCAAGACAGCATCCATAAAGACTTTCAGAACAGTTTATAGTTGTACTAGTGAGATTCATTACTGGACAACCAACTCCATCTGGTCCTTCAGCAGCTGTAACATTATCAAGACAACATCCATATGGTGTTTCCATGCAATTTATGGAAATTTTTGTAACATTTTGTTGAACACAGCCCTCTCCATTTGGTCCACCTGCAATAGTAACATTGTCAGGACAACACCCAAACAGTGTATCCATACAATTAATGGAAATATCTGTAACATTTTGTTGAACACAGCCCTCTCCATTTGGTCCATCTGCAATAGTAACATTGTCAGGACAACACCCAAACAGTGTATCCATACAATTAATGGAAATATCTGTAACATTTTGTTCTAGAC